TTAAATTGATTGGCTACATCCACAGTGAGGGAGATTCCACTAGCACTTGATTAGGAGAAACAAAAATGACTTGGGTTTACAACTCAACACTTCTCCATACCATATACCCCTTAGTTTCTCATATGCCTTGCGTCCCTTTTTAAAAGGAGAACTAGAAAATACAAATAAATAAACCAAACAGAAAACAAATCATTTAAAATAAATGACAATAAATAAAATAATCTCTACCTCATCTTTTACTTCTAGATAAGTAAGAGATGACCAACTGAGCTCCAACTCCAAATCAGCTGCACCAAGATGGTTGCATATGCACCTTAATTGTCTGATCTTATATATTATATCTTTTCACTAGTTTGTGTCTAAATAAACTTCTTCCAAGTTAAGAAAATATCCAACACTTCGCTTTTGCGCTTCATGGTTTACACACAAATCATCAATAAAAGAGACACAATATCTTTTTGGTTGAATGATATTGTATTCATCAAACCTCAAACATCTGTGTCAACATAGTCTAAAGTACATTTTATACTGTGGATGACAGTTTTAAAAGATACATGTGTCTTCTTGCCAAACACACAATACTCACAGATATAAAATCGGCAGGTGCTTACTCCTTTCATCAATCTTTTCTTTTCCAAAGTCTGAAGAGAAGCCTCCCCAGCTTGAGCTAACTGCTTATGCATCAACATAGTGGTGTCACAAGAGCTATTAGCAGCAGCGGCCTTCCATTCATTATACTACTCTGAAGATAATAAAGGTTCTAATGGTGAACTCCCTTCATAAAAACCATTTCTCCACGACGTATCCTTATAACTCTTGCCTTAATAATTATCTTGTAGCCATTAGACTCTAAAACCCCAATTGACAGCAATTCTTTCTGATATCTGAAACATGTTTAATATTAGTCAGCTCTTCCACCGTACCATCATGCATCCTGATAAAGATACTTCCTACACCAATACCACGACAAGGTTGATCGTTGCCCATGGTCAATGCATCGCCATCCAGCTCTTTGTACATACAGAACCACCTTTGATGTGGTCAAATGTGATATGTAACACCTGATTCTAGAATCTAGCATGAATCATATATAAAAAAAATATTAGAAACTTTAGAAAATGATACATCTGAATCTGTCTTTAACAAATTTCCATATATGTAACACCTGATTCTAGAATCTAGCATGAATCGTATATAAAAAAAATATTAGAAACTTTAAAAAATGATACATCTGAATCTGTCTTTAACAACTTTCCAGAATGACATTGGCTTTCACTCAGATGCAACTTCATTTTTCTGCTCTTTCAGCTTCAGACAATATTTCTTCCAAAGTCTAATCTCTAAAAATAATGCACGCTAATTTTTTCCAAGTCTAGGACAACAATTTTTGCCTCGCTTTTGAGAAGTGTCACTGATGGTACCTTTTTTTGACCAGTTCTTCTACTTCTTCTCAGATCTGTCACCTTGGGGTGTAAGTGTCTCAGCTGATTTCATCTTTACAAACTCTTTATTACTTCGCTGGAACTCATGATTCAATTGTGTCGTAGTTACTTTGACATAATGCAAGACCTCCTTCTCATGAATGAGTGTCATAGTGATGCAAGACCTCCTTCCCATGAATGAGTGTCATAGTAAAGGTTTCATACTCATCCGAGAGCGAATTCAACAGAAGAAATGTCTCGTCTTCATTTCTAACCCCCTCATCCAAATTTAACAAATCTGTCAACAGTTTTATGAAGTCATTGAGTGTTCATCAATTGTAACCCCCTATCTCATATAAAATTGTAGAGTCAACTCTTCATATGAAGATGATTTTTCATGCTCTTTGTGAGATATTTTTTCTCCAACATACTCCACATTTTTCTGCAGAAGTCTCCATCATCACCCTATATATATTTGATTTTCTAGGTCAAGCAATTTTTCGATCAAGCCATAAACATTCATGTTTATCTTCAACCAATCTTTCTCTGACATCTCTTTAGGACATTCTTCGCTATCCAGAGCTTCCTCCAGATTCAGAGAGCACAATATATCTTTTATCTCACATTGACACTTGTTAAAGTTCTCTTTGCCATCAAATTTCATCACATCAATTTTGACGGGATACGTAACAAGCTGATGAATCAATTTTTCCACCGCCAAAGTAAATGTTGAAGAATCTGACATCGTGTTATTACTCTTTGTATTAGAATTTCTTTTCTCAAAAATAATTTTTTTAGCAGAATATCCGAGGATAAAAAAAACTACAAAAAAGGTTATATGAAAAAAAATTTCTTTTCCTTTTTTTCTCTAAAAGTTTTTTTATTTTCTCTCTCTGAAAAATCTCATTTTCCCAATTCTTTTACCGAAATTACTTAGCCTAAACAAGCAACTTCCTAGCTTTCCCAAAATTCTGATTTAGGGTCCGTTTGGGGCGGCAATGTAGCACCTATGCCGCAGTTTTGTCTATTTAGGTAAACTGCATTTTGCCAGCTTTTTCAAAAAGCTACCGCTGAAACCTACTTTTTCCCAACACTCCTGGCTAGGTGTAATGGCAGTTTTCTAGCTGCAGCCTGACTTTTAAAAAAAGAATTTGTAATAGGCACTGCAACTTTTTTAGCATCAGATTAGTATTTAGTAGCTTCACAACTACTTTTTAATATGATGCAGCTGCCCCAAACAGATCGTTAATTGTCAGCTTTCCTCTTCTCTATTTGGCAAGAGGCTTGAATGGAATATAGAATATTCCCTTAAGTGTAACTTGCTTTTGAAAATGTTTGTTTACCACAAACTTTACTGTTTAGAAGGTTGGAATTTAAACAGGAGCTAGAAAGGAAAGTGTCCTTTTCTTTCTTGTTATCCACGCGACGTCACCAAACTAAGCGAAACTTCATTGCCTTCCACATGCTGGACCCATCGGATCTCGCCAGACATCGCCTAAACTGCTGTCAACTGTCGAAACCATCTGAACCAATGTCGGAACCCTGCGCTACAAGCTATCCTCGAGTTGTGCACCAAATCTTCGCTTTGATCGCTAACCCGAAGCTCTGATACCAATTTTTATGTGAAAACAATACGGAAGTGCAGAAATTCATACAACAACAATCAAACGCAAAACATTTACGTAGTTTGGCGTTGCATCTATTAGCCCACGTCCACAAGGTGGGAGATTCCACTAGTGTCGGATAGTGAGAAACAAAAACGGATTGCTATTAGAACTCCACACTTCTCAATACAATCCACCTCTTAGGGTCCGTTTGGGGCAGCTTATAAGTGCGGGCGGCATTTTCAAAACGCAGCCGTATTAATTGGTTCGTGCGTTTTATCAGTTTATTCGAAATTGCGTTTGAGTTTTTACACTAAACGCAGGTCGCGGGTCAACCCCTGTGGCCGGCCCCGCGGGCTGCGTTTCAGGATAAGCAGCTTATCCTGAAACACACAAGCTGTCTCAAATGGACCATTAATCTCTCATAAATCTTAAGACCTCTTTTATAGAGGAGGATTAGAGCATATAAGAAAATAAAGTAAGAAAATAAAACCCATTAAATACAACAGTCCTTTTTGAAACTAGAAGGAAACATCTAGAGGCAAAGCATAAAGTAATGTAATGAGTAGTAATAATGTAAAGGATATTATTTGGTATCCTTTTTTTTAGATAATGGAGAGCATTCCTCTTTTAAAAATCCCCCGCTTGTAAATCTTACTCAATTATGAAAGAAGGCGTTAGAATTTAACAGGAACTCAAAATTGATAAAAATACTTCAATTAATTCTAAAATGAATGCATTTAATAAAGGAGTATTTAATCAAGCTGTTAACGATATTCTTAACAGCATTAAAACATATGCATGTCCCCACGTTAAAATTTACAGCATTATTTAGCTTGACAATTAAAGAGCTTGTACTTCAAAATTTTATTTACTAAGCTAGCTTCTATGTACGACTTTCCCAAAACAATAAAACATCAATAACTGCTGTCAACTGAGGCAGATCAGTGGCAACTAAAAGAATGTATTGAATTCGTTCTAACAAACCTACCAACCTAAAATTAATATCATGATGTTAAAGTTCACCAATTTCCATTCAAAAGAGGAAATTTTATTAAAATTATAAAATCGTAATATATTGTTGTGATATATATGAAATTTAAAATAGGAGAACGCTCTTTGATGAAGCGAAAAATAAAACGAGAAAATTCACACCAGAAACCAGTAATACAACGGAACACACAGATTTGTGTGGTTCGGCAAATTCCCTACGTCCACGGAGTTGCAGATGATTTTGCTACTTGAGGAATTTACACCAATCAATCGTCTCGACTTACAAGAGCGAACTCTTTCTCTCACTTCTCTACTCTTCTCTCTTTACACCGAGATACACCGAAGAGGTAAACGTACAAGAAAATCAAACACAATTTCTCTTATGTCACAAGCCACCAAGAAGAAGCCAATGGAGACAATTTTCTTTATCTTCTTTATTACTTCTACTGCAAGGAACTACTACTTGCACTTCTCTTCCTTTATCCCGAGGAAGCCCGAAGAAGAACACAGAAGAGGCCATGCTAAATCTGAAGGAGAGATGCTAATTTCTTCTTCTTCCTCTTTAATTCTGCTGCTCAAGCAGAAGAAAGAAAAATGTCGAAGACCCAATGAGACCTCTCGGTTTCGCGATAAGAAGCAGACGGGGGGTGCGACTCTTTGCGAAATAACAGAACTGTTTGTGGGAATAGTTCGGCAGGAACAATTCGCAGGAGTTGGGACACGACCTCTCGCGATCGAAAGCGGTAGTCGGGGAAAGCGGGAGCGGGCGTCTTCGCGGGAACGGTAAAAAGATCGTGCTCCAATTAACAATATATTTTAACGGTAATGATTTGTATGTTTTATGATAATGCTCCAAGTTTTGATTAAAAACTCTCCTTTTGTATAATATATCTTATATCCTGATATCTCTGTTCAAAATTTCTCAGAAAAAAAATAAGAAATCCTAAGTGATACATGGGATAGAAAATTTTCAAAAAAGTCATTAAAAATTCAATGCAAGTTTTTGCTATATTATAGAAATAACAAACACCATAAACTAATTAAAACTTGGACAAAAACACACGGATTATTTTCAAATATAACACCGTTAATGATCACTTCACACCAAACCCTGACAAATTTATTCAAAGCTTCATCCAAAGCTCACATTTAGTCCAATCAAGCCTTCTCATCCATGGCTAAAATGGTGCTCAAATTCATTGGATTCATAAACTCAGCTGAACCAATCATCATATGGCTGACAATAATGCGACTTGCTCTCTCTGATGGGTGGAAGGCATCCCAGAAGGCATAAATATCTCTATTAGGGCACAGATTTGAGGCCACAGTACAAAGGCCAATCCCATTGTATGGTCCTTGCCCACAACATGCAACTTTTGAGGTTACAAAACCTGCAAAATTAGCTCCATATTTAATATTTATGCAGAACCATGGCAACTTATATGTAAATAGATATAAATTTATTTTCATCTCACTTAATAATTATGTTTTACCAAGTAATGCTTTAATAGAGAGGTAAAGCACACGTAACTCTATATATTTAGAAAGAAAAATTGATTCACGAGTCCAGACGCTGCTCTGTGTCTGAGAGTCCAGACGCTGCTCTGTGTCCGAACAACGGACGTGATACAGCGGGGCATAGCAGGAGCTCGGACCTCCATTATATCACGTTCGTTGTCCAGACACAGCACGCATTCGGACTCCGAACACAATATTTTCTCATATATTTAAGCAAATTATAATTTCTCAAGTGTAATGGTGAAAATAGTTGATCTCAAACTAATTTGGGGTCTGTTTCGGGCTGCTTAATTGGCGCGGTGGTGCTTTGAAAATGCACCAGGTGTATATTTAAGCAAATTATAATTTCTCAAGTGTAATGATGAAAATAGTTGATCTCAAACTAATTTGAGGTCTGTTTGGGGCTGCTTATTTGGAGCGGTGACGTTTTGAAAACGCACTAGGTGTGTTTAGGTAAAATGTGTTTTGACAGCTTATACATTTTCAAAACGCTGAAAATAATTTTTTCACGCCGCGCCTGTCTAGGTGCGGTGACAACTTTCTGACTGAGATTTGGCTTTTCAAAATAAATAAAAATTTGTAATAGTCACCGCACCTAGCTTATCAACAGATTATTCAATAAGCTACAATTGCCCCAAACAGACCCCTAGCCTCAGCTCAAACATGGCTCACAACTTAACTAATTCGATTTTTGTTTTTTTACAAACTAGATGAAAATATTAAATATTTATGTTTAATTTTTAATTTGTATTTCATTTACTTTAAATTAAATAACAAAAATATAAAATATATGAAATTGGAATACATTAATAGTTCCCCCTTTTACTTGCAACCAAGCATCACCTATAAGTGAGTATCACGTGATCTCACATTATGAATATGCGCCACGTACATTTCAATATACTAATAAAAATATTTTTCTATATTGAATATTTCCAGTAGATTATTAGACCGGGTTCGGAAAACATAACAAAACCGAGCCGGGCTTTTTTACCGTAGGCTTGTGGGTTGGTGATGAAGCCCATGTGTATTTGGAAAGCATTCGCTGCGATGAAAACGTCAGTGCCGATCAGACCGTTGAGATCCTTCAAAAGTTGTGCGAGCTGAGGATTGTAGAGAGCAGCGGCCCGTTGGAGCTCCGGGTCACAGTCGCCGGTCCGGCTTCTTTGTGCAAGCTCGGCCGGCACACAGCCGAGTGGACCGGATCCGGTGACCAGAACACGCCTGGCTCCCAACTCGTGGAGTCTCTGCAGAATCAGATCAGAAAAGTCAGAAATTAAGAAACGAAACTCTTTAATTCCTTGTTTCTGCTTTTGCTGTACGTTATATCCGCTTTTATTGTTAAAGTCTCGGATCTTGCTCTAAATTTCCTAAAATAGAAAAAAAGTATTTACAAGAACTAGGTTGTCAAAATGGATCCCTCTTTGCCAACTGTCCGTAAATAGTAGCTCTTATTTCATTCGTAGACTAGATAAATAAATTGAACATGAATCATTTTTCTGCACTCTACGGATAAATGAGCCCAATAAATTTTTTTTGTTATAGTTTGGCTTATTTTGACTTTGAAGATATATAGGCAAATTGGAAGGCGGCCTAGGCGTATGTCGCCTCTGTCACGGGTTCGAATCCCCTCGGGTCGAATTAGCACATATGAGAAACCGATATTTACAGGACGATTTATCCCGTCCTAAATGTCAATTCCTTATTAAAAAAAATAGTGTAAGAATTGACCCGAAACATTAACATGACTCGAACTCGAATCGAAAATTTCGAGTTAGAGTTGACTCGAATATTTTTTTAGTCTGGTTTAGGTCTGAGAATTCAACTCGTTTATTATTCGGTTGGATTCAGGTTGAACCCGAAAATCCAAACATGACCCGAATAAGCACGACATTTCGGGTCAAGTTCGTGTTAGTTGGTCAAGCTCGGGTTCGGGTTTTAGTTTTTGACTGGTTTATTATTCGGGTCGGGTTCAGATTAACTCTATTCAGGTCGATCCCGAACATGACCCACTGACCTGAATTGATAAGTATTACTTATAAATAATTTAATTGACTAGAAGACTTTTAATTAATAAATTTAATAAAATTAAATTAAATTATATTTAACTGAATATTTTAATATGAATAATAATATTTAAATCTCTCTCCCTCCCTTAACATCCTATGATTGCGAGACTATGGCTATCAAAACGGTTCATTATTCACGAATAGCTCGTGTTCGGCTCACTAAGTAAACAAGCCGAACACAAATAAATTTTTTTGTCTCTGGTATAAAAACGAGTCGAACATGAACAGTGATATTTTTTAACTAGCCAAACACGAGCCGAGTCAAGCCAAGCTAACCCTGGCCTCGCACAAGCTCCACTCTTTTACACCCCTATTAGCAAGGAATTTACCATATGAGCTCTTTTTTCTTGAATATAGAGCTGATATGAACTATTGAGTCTATTTAAAAATAAAAATAGTTTTGAATCATGGAATTTATTCTAAACTTATTTTAACTCAAAATAGTGTTTTAGATGTACATGCCTGAAGGATCTTCTTATATTCAGAAATGAGGTAATGAACATAATCAGGCAAAGAGAACTCTCGAGATCTGGCGGAGTAAGGCACCAAATAATAGTTGTTGACGAAGTCATTCCCCCCCAGAGTTATCAGAACAAGTGCGTTGTTGAGTAGCCGTTGAGTCTGCTTTGGACCAATCAGAGATCTCAACCTCTGCTGGTACTGCTCGAAGTACTCCAGCTGCTTCGTGATTCTTATGATATTAAACTACAATAAAAAAAACTCTTATGTAAGTAAGTTGCAAGTATTAAATATGTATGTAATTTATATTCTTAAGATGTTGAAAGAGGAATATAATCATTGATTGATCCTTCGGAGTAACTTATTCATCAACATAGGCTGAAAAGCTCTAATGATTTTGTTTATATTTATTACAAGTGTAAAAATTAAAGTATTTCATCCGGGCAGACTTCAAGCAATTCTCCAGCAATACAGTCAAGAAGAAAAAAATCTACAAATGAAATTTCATCATTTCTAACTGTTTGGGGCAGCTTATTTGGTCCGGTGACGTTTCGAAAACCCATCTGACCTGTTTGGGTAAACAGCGTTTTTGTAGCTAATGCGCTTTGAAAACGCTGAAAACAGCGTTTTCACACCGCACTTGTCAGCTTTCTAGCAACGGTTTGACTTTTCAAAGTTTTCACACCGCACTTGTCAGCTTTCTAGCAACGGTCTGACTTTTTCACAGAAATAAAAATTTGTAATAGCCACCGCACCTAACTTATCAGCTGATTATCCAATAAGTTGCAGCTGCCCAAAGAGAACAGTACTCCTCATTTACAAGCAATTGAATATCTTAACCAAACATTTTGGATAAATTTAAGTTGAAGCCAGCTCATCAATTGCAAGACTATTTCAACTCAAAATTAGCATTATTCTAAAAAATAAAAATAAAAAACTTACAAATTGAATGCCTGTATCATTCAAAATTCCAATGCCAGCTGAAGCAAAATTAGCACCCACAAGTAATCTCTCCCCACGCAGCTCTGGACTCAAATAAGGCAATGTAGGCTCTGCACCAATTTGTTCACCTGAAACTCACCTCACCAAGCTCAGAAACAGAACCAATTCAGCAAATAACGAATATAAAATACAAATATCATTACTGATAATATCTGGAATATTTAAGCCATTTGAGAAACGCCCTGTTGGCCTATGCGTCGGATAATCAACTCCATAGGGTGGTGCATCAGCCCGAGCAGTGGTTGCCAGATAGTTATTGTTGCCATTATCAACAAGAGAATCACCAAAAACAAAGAAGGCTCTAGCCTCAGAAGCCGGAATCCAGCTCCCAAGAGCTAGTAATGTGAAGAGAAAAATGAAGGATTCCATGGCTGAAGATGCTGCAGAAGAAGCAGGGCTAGACATGGAGATGAGGGGGGAAGAGGCTTTATATACACTTTCAGAGATTAGTGAAGTCTTACTGAATTGTGATTTGGAGGTTATTTGACAAATCAAAATTTAATTTTTTTATATTGGTGTAAAAGTATATCACTACTGATTCACATCTTATGTTTACAGTTTCATGAACCTTATAGTATGACATTAAATAAGCTAGGATTTGTCTTTCAATGCTATTGCTAAATTTGTGAAAGTTGCTGTGGATCAATATTGCTAAATTGATGGAGAATGGTGAATTAAGAGCTGAAAGGATTTAGCTGTTTATTTGCTTCTAGGCATTTAAGGGCCGCAGAAGTGGTATGGTATTGAATCTCTGGTTAAATTGTTCTAACAGAGTAATATTTATTATTTTTCCTTAATCATTAACTTTAGATTTACTATAAGAGTGTGTTATGGAAAATCACATTTGAGCTAGAATGAGCTAGCTTATTTTGAGTGTATATGAAGAATTCGATTTGGAGTAAATAAACTCATTCTTATCATATGTTAGATCGATGCAATAGGCTGAGTAATGTTTTTCTATCTGCAATTAGCTGAAGGAAAAATGCTATAATGACATGCGAGAACAAAGAGATGCAAAAATATTACTACATATATTAATATTATTTATCTGCTGGTCATAAAGGGACGAAAGTATTTGGTCAAGTTTTTTTGTGCAAGGTGCAAGTGGTAACGGATGCTGGGGCTAGGGAGTTCAACCACATCCTAACTTCATCATTGTACTAGAATGTGAGACAAATTTAAAGAATATTTCTAAGTGAAGGTTTGGGTCCTCATTAGTTAGTCCTCCAAAATTGATTATTTTACACCATTTGGACGATGATTGTTCTAAACTTAAAAGTGTTTACTTAGTTTATGCTCGTGTTGATCACATTTGTTGATGGGTTGTCATAATCCCTTAGTGGTTTCATGTCGTTAGCCTGAGGGTTAGCTATCACTAAGGGTGTTTTGAGTGATATGTGCACTTTCCTAAGTCGTCTAAAGGTCCTCTCAATTTCATAGTCAAATAGTGCAAGGTCAGCTCCAATAGTCCTATGCATGCACTAAGGTACATTAATATGTGATCTTAATCAAAAGGCAGACACAATAACTCCAAATCACACACACAAGTCTCTCAGCATGCAATTACACTCAATAAGCAAGAAAATAAAGAATAAAAAAGAAAATAATTGTTTCTTTGCCTTTTTTTTTTTTTTGCATTTTTGCTTTTTTGCATTTCAGAACCTTTAAAAAAATTGGCAAAACAATCATGCAAATCCGACGTGAAAAATAAGAAACTGCAAAATCTAAAATAGAAGATACAGAGGCTAGATTTGAAGCAGTTTAACTACAGCTCTCCTAAAGTCATAATATTTCTTAAAGCCTTCCTTGTCAACAATACCAAAAAATTGATGGCCGAAAAGTTACTAGGAGGCATGTGGCCAAGGACGCAAGTATATGTTGGTGGGTATTTTTTTTGTGTCGAAGACTTCTATTTAGATGATTAGACAAGACATTTTGAAGAATAATATATCTTTCTAAAGAAAGAAAATATTACCTTGGAAATGTGTCTGATCACCTAGATGATGAAATTCCTTGTCATCCTACAGAACTAAAGTTTTTTCCTTTACTTTACGGGTTTAAGATAAATTTTATTTTAATTATGGAGTCTCATTCCCTATAAGGGGCAAGCCCTCATAGTTAATTATAAATTTAGAGCCATGAGCCCTAAAGAAAACTCTTGATTAATGTAATAAGTCAAAATTTCTGAGATTGAATTTTCGTAATTTGAGTTATTTAAAGTCAGTGGAGGGCCCAAATTGGAAGAATTAAGCTGAAAGAGATGGGACTTATAGTTCGATGATGGCATGCCATTGGAAAAGCCTAAGCAAAATGTAGGATGAAGTTTGGATAGTGGCAACAAAAAAGTTTTGAAAGGGACTGATAACGTGTTTGAATTGGTCAAGTGAAGTCAAAATATGAGTCAATGATACTTGACTCGACTTACATAAGTGATTTAAAACCCTAAGCTAAGGATAGATTCAGGTAAGAAAAATATTTCTAGATGAGAAATGAAACGTTAGACTTTATAAGGATTTCTAAGAGGCAGAGTAACCTAGACTTTAGGAATAAAGTCCACCGTCAGGATGCCTATGGCTTTCCATCATCATGGGAACATTGATATCTGTCAACTATAACCAACCTCATAACCAAGAACCCCCCTTAAATTTCATAGTGTGGAGGATACATAGTTCAACGTAGTCTGAAATACCTTAGTCACCAACCATGGGTTACTTCATTCTAGGGAATTCCCTCTAGTCTCAGTGGGTAGATTTGTTAGTTTGTATGTCCTAGTTCTTAGCACTAACTAGGGAGCCTATCACACTAAGCTACACTTTTATACTTAGACTAATCTAGGGTAAGGGTAAGATCCTTAGTTTGACGTCTAAGTTAGCTAACCTAAGATACGTATGAGTTCTACCAAGGATATGTTCTCATTCTATATAGTTTTGTATTTTGAATGTTTATTTGAGGTTCAATGTTTAAATCATGTTTTCTTTCAATTCTTAAGTTTATCAATCATGTTGAGAAATCAAAGTTTCTCTTAGTTTTGAGCTTAATTTTTTTAGATTTGACTTTGTCTATGGTAAAAACCATCTCGTGAGATGTTTTCATCCTTCCATTTTATTTTATGTATTATATATATTTTTTTTATTTGAATTCTTATACACATGAAACAAAATATTAAATAATACAAACAAAATAAATAATGTTTATTTGCCCTTGGTTTAGACTTGGGTCAGGATCGGGTCGAGGTAAACTAAGTTTATCACTTAGGTTAGATTAGAATTGAGCTAAAATGTAATGTTAGACAACTGGTTTGGGATCCAGTTTGGCCTAGATTAGACCCAAGTGGACCTAGGTTGACTTGGGTGGCTTAGGTTGACCTAGGTGGACTTGGGTTAGCTTGATTTGACTCAAGTAAGACCTCAGTTGGGTCAAATCAAACATGGGTTATGTCAGGTTGAACCTGGTTTCGGTCAGATTGGAACAAACTAGGTCGGGTCAGGTCGGTCAAGCTTGAATTGGATTAGGCAGGACTTGGGTTGGCTTAGGTCAAGTCTAAGTTGGGACACGTTGGACATGAGCTGGGTAAGATCAAATTTCGATTGGATTCGGGTCAGACCGTGGTTGGGTTAGGTCGGATATTGATTGGGTCAGGTTGGACCTGGGTTAGGCTCGATTCAAACATGCAATGGGTCAGGTCAAGCCTTTTTAGGCCAGGTCGAGCTTGGGTTTAGTCAAGTCGAACCTGAGTAAATTTAGGTTAGACCTGAGTTGAGTTCGGGTCGGACATAGGTTGGTCAAGTCGGCCCTGGGTTAGGTTTGTATTATGTTTAAATTTGGCTTTTGGTTAGGTTTAGGTTTAGGTTAGTGTTTGGGTTTAGATTTGATTTTAGGTTAGGTAAGAGCTTGGGTTTGTGTTTAGGTTAAGGTTTGGGTTTAGGTTAGTGACATGCCTAAAATATATTAATTACTTTTATTTGTACATTTAATACTTATTTTTAATGACATTGCGCTTTGATGAAAGACATTTTTTACTTTTATTTGTACATTTAATACTTATTTTTAATGATATTGCGCTTTGATGAAAGACATTTTTATGTTTTTGGTTGCAGGTACAATAAATGGAGCAAGTTGAGCAAATGGAATAAAAATAGAGCAATTTGGAGTCAAAAGAAGAAAAATGTCAAAGTTGACCTGGTGCCTAGACGCCAAACAATAGAGAAATTGGCACCTAAGCACAAGAGTTTGGCGCATAGGTGCCACAAAAGGTTTTCAAGAAGGTTTAATGAATGTGGACTACTTTTGAAGGGGTGATTGAAGTGACTCTTAGTGATTTTGAGAAATGATTTTGAGAACTCTATTTAAAGAGACTTTTGGAGAGTCCAAGGGGAGTCTTTTTGGAGAGGGGGAGAGTCTTGAAGAGGTGAGCATCATTGAAGGATTTGCTTGGTGGCTTGCTTAGATTTGGAAGAGAAGAGGAGAAGTGAGAAATTAGTGAGAAATATCTTCTTCACTATAGATTTTGAGTAAGTTTGGAGTGGAATTGTAAGGAGAGTGAATGATTCAAAAGAACTAGAAGGATTTCTTGGAAAAGAGTTTGAGATAAGTTGTATTTTATTTATGTTACTTAATCTTATTTTATAAACTTATGTTTATCTATAAATCCATGTGTTGTTGTGTCTTCCCCATGAGATCTAAGTAGGTTCATTTGTCTTTCTCCTTGCAATGAAGAACAATTATGTGTATGAATAAAGTTTAGTAGAAGTGCTTTTAATTCCATACATTGTCCTGCAGGTCCAACACTTTGATTTCTACGTGCTACGAGCCCCTACCTAACTACAACTTGTTGATGAGTAAAAAAAGAACTTCTTTATTTTTTGTAAGCTCTCCATTAGTGGTAGCCAACTCAAACAAAAAATCCACCGCACCCTCCATAAGGATCACACCGCGAGCAAATGATAGTTTAGTCAATGTTAGCAGATCAATGACATCCCTCAATGGCTCTTTTTTGGGGGGTATATTAATAAAATCAGAAGTCTCTTCAGCAGTTAGCTCATCCTTTGAGTGTGAAAGCATATGAATAAAAGATAGAACTAGTTCACTCCTTTTCAAAAGCATGGATGGATTAGGTCTAACATCGTCAAGAATATCAAAGAAGTAAGTATGCTTACTTCTTATAGTTGAACCATCGATCGTAGATCCAGGCACAAGGAGGTTAAATGCAATTTACGCTTCAAATAGCTCTAGTCTTCAACCCTCCATTTTTTTATTAAATCCACTCAAATTAAATCCTTTGAAGAAATAGGATGTGAAGGTAAAAAAAAATATGCAATAGGCACACGACAAATGAAAAAGAATAATTTTGTAGATAAAGAACAAAACAACACACAAATTTATTTATGTGTGAGAAGTATTAACTTTCGACCTTAATTTTTGTCTT